CGAAAAAATATTGCCAGCCGATTGGATTGGCGTCAGCAGCTAGCACAGCAGCAGCAAAAACAAGACATGAACAAGTGCAGGAAAAGAAAAACTACGTATAAATAATTGCATAAGTAGCAACAAAAAAATGAGCAAACGAAAGGGTGACTCAATTGGTCAGCAAGCAATCGAAAATGCATAAGCAGGCAGCCAAGCGGCAAGTAATAAGCGGCCATGAGAAAATGGCAAAGAATGCGTGCATACACACAGCTGCAATGGACAGTATTCGAGTCGAAGTAAAAAGTGGCATAATGAAATAAAAAAGAGCTAAGAAATAAAAATCTTAACAAGTAATTTTTAGCAAAAAAAAAACCGACTTCAACTCCCATATAAAAAAAAAATATATATATATATATCACGATCCACTGATCGGATCCCAACCAGATTAGTATGGGACCACCTCTGCACCTCTGAGACACTACCTTTCCGATGCAAACAGAATTATCGAAATCGGTTGACGTAGTCCAAAGTTATGCGGTCCACCATTACAGACCATTATCACATTTGAGTATGCAAGTGCAAGAAAAAAAGAGGAAAATAAGAACATTGCGAGTGTATTTGTGCCAATAAACAGGCAAACACATGTACGCAAGCGTACTGGTATGCCACTCACTACAGTCTAATGACTTCGTCTTCAACTATCAATATCCTTTTCCGTTTTTAGTTCAAGTTCAGCTTTTATTACTTTTTCATTTGCCACATTTCATCTGTAATTTTTTTTGTTTTCTTCTTCTTCCACTCGCAAATACTCTTCGAACTTTGCTGGCACAATTTGTTCATGCTTCCCATCGTCCTCCGCCGTTGTTGCCAGCATTGCTTTTTCTTGACTTTTTCGCGCCAAAGTCTATTATAAAAAAAAAGTAAGTAAGTTGTGCGAGTGCGGGCGAATGTGTCTCTTTCATCTTCTTCTTCCTCTTCCTTCCTTTTCCTCGATTACACTTAACTTTTTCATTTCTGCATTTCTTCTTCTCTGTTGGTTTTTTTTTCATACTCCTATTTGCATTAAGCAAAGATAAGTGCGAGCGAGTAGATACTGCCTGCCTGCCGCTCAAGTGTTCGAATTGAAGTGGGCGTACGAGCGTCGAGAAGATATTCTTCATTGCACTTGAGTATCTGCTATACAAAGTATGTGCTTACCAACAAATAACATACATACATACATACATATACAGTTTTCATATGTAGTTGAGTTGCGGCAAACTACAAACGCTTTCGGTGTGGCATGGAAGCGTGCGAGTAGTGCTAAATAAACACTGGATATGTATATACAGAGGAAACATACACACACTAACACACATATACATATGCTACAGCATTTGTGCTGAATACTTCTATGTCCTTCTATGAAACGTTTAATAGGATATACAACATAAAGTAATCTCAACAGTTTTTTATTGAGTCCATTCGAAAATGTGGGCCAAATAAGCTGGTGACTACCTCAACATATATAACGTTTGGGTTATGTTTTTCGTATGTATTAAATGTGCTCGGTTTTGAAATTTTTGTGGTTGAAAAGAACGAATAAGTTTGTAAACGCCCTCTTACTTATTTTAATTTTTTTAAGCAAATAAGTTGGAAACACAAATTTCGAGGATAATAATCTTTAAAATATAATTTTTACAAAAAATAAATATTGAAAATTTTCAAGGATGTTCAAGGACAAAATTTTAGAAGAACATTTTCGATACGTACTCGTCCTTGTGCACAAAAAAATTAAATTTTTTCTTTTATTTGATAACCATAGTTTTATGCAACTAACATACATGCACTGCATTTTTTAAATAATTTTTAGAAATATATACATATATATTTGAAAGTTCAATGTCCTTAAAGAAAATCCAGACGTTAGATAGAAAAACTAAAAACGCAGTTTTGAAATATTTGAGGTGTATTTAGTTTCGCGAATATATTGAGTTATTAGCTGTCGCACGGTGCTATTTTACATTTCTTCTACTAGAAAAAAAACGCCAATTGCCTCTCTCATCCGCAAAAGCTACCAGCTGTAGAAATGGCTTAAAACATTTCGGCTTTTCATTTTATTTCGTTGTCCACCCATGGATGCTGAGTCGAGGGATCTTTTGACCAGAGCGTCGTCATTCTTGCGTCCAACATTGCCAAGCCAGCGCAACCGTTGTACTTTTATGCGCTGTCCCTGTCGTTAAAAAGCTCGTCTTTCCATCTTCTTCGGTACCCATCGGCCACGCGAACAGGACCTTAGATGTTGGGTAATATAGTTCCCTCGAAATCGTCCAAAAGCCTTGTCATCTTGGTTAGACCTCATCCATCTTTCTGCGTTATATAAAATCTCGTTGATCGTACTTTTTGTTCTTCCAATCGCAAAGTAACAGCTATTTGGAAGAGCTATTCTTCGCTTGATTTCCAGGCTGGCGTTGTTGGCGGTGCTTAATGGTTAATCGTAGTCCTTGAGTACTTCAAAATTGCCACAACTGCCAAAAGTGGCGCGTGTTACAAGAGTCAATAGTTTTAGTGTATTGTCAGGAGATACTTTGACTTGCTTTCGCCCACCACTAGCCACATTTACTATTTCCACAGCCTAACGCAGTGACAGCTTGCTTGCTTCTTTTCTAAACTACAGCACTGCATACGTCAAATTTAATTTAGTATTGTTTTGCGTAGTTCATAAGGGGATTTGTCTCCCTGTGATACTAAAAGATGGTAGAGCGTCGGTACAATGTTAACCCAGTGCTTTATCTAAATGATAGGAAGACTTTTTCAATAATCTTCGGAGCTTTTTCGCTATCTAATGGAGCAGTTATGTACAATACATATCGAATCTTTGCTGCGAGATTTTCATCATCTAAAAATTAATAATTTTTTTCTGAGTTAGGTATGCTGGAATGACCACAACTTCTTCTTCCATATTGTGTAAAAATTAGTTCTATCGATTAACAAAAGCTGAAAACACTTTTCATATCATTTTTTTACTTTGTTATAAATTTCAAATTAATGGCCCGGTTTTTCTTTTATACATTCACAGAATAAAAAAAAAAAAACAGATCATTGAATCTGTTAAATCATTTATTCTTATAGATACATACATACATACAGATTTTCCTCTTTAATTTTTACTCGTGGCTTAATCAATAAAATAAAATTGTGATAAGAAATTATTGTAATATGTATTTATAATTCCCTTCTGCCTTTTTTTTAGCGCGATGTGCTCATACTGGAACCATCGGGTTCAGATATACTCAGCTGCGTGTCCAAGGGCAAGCGTGAGGTATGTATACGAATAACCAATAACTGAGATAAAATATCAAATTAGTTATATTGACTAAACCTAAAAAACTTTATTTTCTTTAAATTCAATACATACTTATGTACTTATAAATTTAAGTTAAATACCCAGTACTCAAAAATTAAGTAATACTAAGTACGTACTTAAGTGCATGTACACTACGCCATTTAAAGTGTTACAACATTAATATTCACCTACCCACCCCACCTACCTACACTCATTGCACAATGCAACCACGCAAACAAAAGAACACAAGTGTATGGAAATTTAAATAAATTAAGCGATATTTCAATGTACTCGTAAACAAGTCTTTCAAAATTTAATAAATTACACAAAACTCTATTTTTGGCTAGTAAAATTAACTTGAAAAAGCTATAACTGTTTCAAAGTGATTAATGCAAATATGCAATTGTGTTTTTTTTTTCTCTCTCCCTCTCCTATCGTTTTTCTCCGTATGTGCTTATGGTTTGCCATTTATTTTCGATATTATTATTTTCACGATTTCTTTGCTTTGTGTGTGTGTGTTTAACTTTCGTTCTTGGTACAATGTGACAAATAAAAAAATAAATGATAACAAACAACTGTAACACAACAATGTCAACACGTATGGACGCGCACACACACCCCATGCAAAAAAAAACTTACTTCAAGAAGGTGGAATGCCGCAACCACATACGCGTCATACAGCCGATGGACTCTGGGGCGCGCTTATATGTATGCGGCACGAATGCGCACAATCCAAAAGACTATGTGATAAATGTGAGTATAGATAGATAATGGGCGACCATGAAATTACACATTGTACATACATATATATGAATGTCCTTATAAGTAAGTATATCTACATAGATACGTGTATATATCGAAACAATTTAACTATTTCCTTGGATATTGTTGCTGTGGCCTTCTGTTTGTTGGAAAAGCTGTGTAATTTCGGTTATTTGGCTTGTTGTTATTTTATTGAGGCTTTTGGTTAGCCTTGTATAGCCACAACTGCCCCACTCACACGTACATACATATGCATATACGCAAGTATTATGGTGGAAGTATGTGTGCGTGTGTGATATACGCCTTTGCTTTAGTTTGCTTTACATGGTTGCCACACTGATATTTGCACATTTCGGTCGCATTCGACCCTAACTAATGTGCGGTGGGTCCGGAATTTCCACTGCTGCTGCATCTCCTACCTTCCTCCTAATACAAATACACCATTTAGAGCATTTCTGGTTCTGGCGTGGTAGTAGTTTGTGTAATAAATGAGCTTAAATAAACCGGGATTAGTTTGTTGCGCCACAAAGCAGTGTCAGCTACCGACCAACTGACAAATACAGATACTGACAAACTTTGAACTCACACTCTATACATAAACGTGTATGTATGTTTGTATAGCAGCCTAGCGCGTGTGAACATTGCTTCGAGATTAGTTGGGTGGTCAGGACCATGACAACATTTAGCATTAAATTAAAGTCACTATGTGGCAAATATCTTCGATTTAATTGCGTTCAGCGGAAATTTATTTAATGCTCCTTAGCTTTGTTCAATTGTATGCAAAGTGGAAATCTGTGGAGATATTTCACTTTTGGTTGTTAAGTAAATGTGGTAAGAGATTATTTTCTTAGAAATCGGAAGCATATTTAAGCAATTGTGGATATTTTTATGTAATTTTGGAGGATTTCTAACTGAAAACGTTAAAAATTTAATACGATTTCGAAAATATATTCGAATTTTGAAAAATTAAAGTTTTTGAAATTTGAGGAATTTTCACCCCAAAACTTTGCAAACTGGTTTTCTCCTGTGCAAATCTAAACCAGTTTTGTACACCAACTTTAGGAAGGTCCTTCCTATATTAATGCGGAGTTCAAGGATATTTTCACCGGAGCATGTCCGAGCTAGCGCAATCGTTTTATTGGTGGTCATCTACGTTCATACCATTTATGTTTTGTAATGTCCTGTTCCCACTTTCTTTGGTACCTATATATCCCTTAAGCAAAAATAGCTATACATTTTGCGTTGAAGAGATATGTATGTCGAAAGCCTCAAAATCTTCATCTTTCATGTCTTTGCGCCACACAAAAGGAAGACGTGATAAAATAGAGCCTTTTATTCGTCGAGAATAGACTCGGATTTTTAATTGCCACCGGAGCCCAAAGTAGCACCTGTTGGCTGGAGTAATACTTCTCCAGATGTCTAGGCTGACACTGTTGGTGGTATGAATGCCGGCCCTCTATAGACAAGTATCTACGAGGCTCTTTAAGTATTTTCATTCAGCTCTAAACCAACCTATTTTGCCTTCTTCTCAATGCTGGGGAATACCACGCACATCCTAGCAGTATCGCTTTCCAGCATCTGGTATATGAAATCGAGAAGAGTCGCGCTGTGTTAAATCTCAATAAGCGGCGAACTTCATGGATAAGTCCTTTCTAATTTACACCGAGCCGTGTTTGTTTTACAGGGATGTCAATTCACACTTAGCCAAGTATTGTCCAAATCATCAAAAAAGCCGACGCATAGATGGCCATAAAATTCTGCAACTTATCAACTAATACAAGTTCTTTAAGACTCATTCTTAAATTAACAATAGGCGTGTTTTCTTACAAGCATACGTATCTGCGCTTAAAATTTATATGGAGCTGTAAGCGATAAACTTTTAGTTGTCGATAAAATCAAAACCATTTGTTTTTAAATGATGGTTGTACATATACCTATAACTGTTGTAAAGAAATTTTAAAGAATTCGCTAAGATTTAATTCGGTTTTTTGCCGAATTTTCTAAAATGAAATAAATTACGCACACTTCCATTCTTTTACGAAATTTCGGAAGAAAATCTGTGAAGCAACGAATATAATGGTGCTATGTGAATAATATCTTTCAGAATTTTTCCAGAATTTTCTTTATTTTTCGTACAGAAATTTCTTTACGAGTTCGTGTCAACCACTTCATAAAATAGGAGATACTCCTAACGATTTTCTTAAGATTTCGGGAACTTTGGTTTGCAGGGTAGCCTCAAATCCACTTCCTGGAAGGCAACATTCTCATTTGAACTGCCTTAAAAATAACTAAAACACTAAAGTTGGCTTTAAAGTTTTACTTAGGAAAACCAAATATGTATAATGGGTGAGTAGTTTAAATTAACCACTAAACTTTTAAAGTGCTCACAAAAGTTTGTTTGCGAAACTTTGCCTTAAGGACACCTTTCGCATAAGAGATTTGACATGTTCGCTTTTATCGATTCCCATGTCAGTGCGTAATTGCTGCTGTCAGTTGTGTTAACCTTTAACTTAATTTTTGCAAGCAGCCACCTAAAGCCACAGCCACAATAACAACAACAAATCGAAAACCCGAAATTCCAACAAAATAAGAACGCAGCTAAATACCAAACTACAAACTGATTTTCCTTTTGCTCCCTTTTTCGCATTTAAGTATATTCCCTACTTACACCAACTAACTGAAGCGTTTATTTTGTTTTTCTTTGCTGGTGCGACACCCGCTTCTGGCTGAATACCTTCACCAAAACTCATCGACTACAACTCAACATCACTGAAATTGCTGACGACGACGACGATATGGAACAACAATGTCGCACGACAAACACACACATTTACAAATATTATTTTGCCTACAGGCGAACTTAACACATTTACCCAGATCCGAGTACGTGCCTGGCATTGGCTTAGGCATCGGCAAGTGCCCCTACGATCCCGCCGATAACTCCACAGCCGTTTATGTGGAGAAAGGAAATCCCTTTGGATTACCAGCGCTGGTAAGTAGAGGCAAACAAAAAAAAAAAAAAAGAATTGAAAATAAAAAGGCATGCGAATAAGTTTCAATGCAAAGAGGTGGCGAAGGTGTTTTGGCAAGGCAGTCAAATAAAAGTACACACTGGCAAATATTTGTTTGTTAGTTTATACGCGAGAGTG